TTCTTCATAGCACGTAGTGCCGGATTTATCCAAGTAGCAAAAGTAGCTACATACGATACGGGCCCCGCGCTAAACGCTTTCAAGCTCTCAATTCCCGGTTCAGTGATTCTGCAACTTGCTCTATGACTATAGTACTATACCGCCTTCAACTTTTATGAACGACCGGGTGTTTGAGGTTAGCGATTTGTCGTAGTATCTGGCTGCGTAGCAAATGAAAAAAATACAATTACTTTTATGAGACCTCCTTTGCCAGAAACAAGATATAGGAATAGGTTTTACCCTTTTAACTGGCACAATACACCAATGGAGACTAGGCTCTAAGAAAAGCTGTCTCGGGTGTGGACCAATCAAATTCAAGGACAGTGCCAATATCATTATCAGAGTTGTCTCTTTTGTTTGCATTTGTACTGCTTGTGTTGTGGTTATTGCAAACATGATGCCTTGAATAAAGGTGTCAGTTTTTGTGCCAGTTAAAAGGGTGAAACCTATTCCTACAATTACTTTACTATGCAAGTTAAAAAAAAATTGTTTAAATCACAAACCGCCACTTCTTTCAAATGTTTCTTGCCGTTGGTTTTCACACCTGATGATGACTGTTTGTGTTACAGTCGAAACGTCGTGAGAATTTTATTGTTTAATATATATTATTATTTTATTGTTTCCCTTCTACGTGGTGACTTTACCGAAATAACCAAGAATGTGAATCACTGCAGTCACGAAAGCTTCAAATAAAAAGATAAAAATCTTTTTTTCGATTTAAGGCCCCTTTATAAAATATGCTCCAGGCCCCGCACCTAGCTGAATCCGGCACTGGTGAATATATAGTATTTGTTTTCCTTTCAAGGCCAGTCTTATTGGCCCTATCGTAAATATATTGTGTATTTAATGTTTCAAGCCACAGTGCTGTTGACGAATGTGTTGAGTTGCTTTGGTTCGTTGTGATTCCACACCGCTGTTAGACGCAGCAGCAGCATCACCTAATTGTGATTTTACTTCACCGGGTGTAAGGGGCCGTCCATAAATGACGTCACGCACCTAGGGGGGAAGGGGGGGGTCAGACATTTGTGACGATGTGTGACGAGGGGGGGGGGGGTGTTTGAGAAATGTGACGTCACGTCAAAATGCGCAACTTTAAATAAATATATAAATCGTATTCTTGCTTTTTTCGGTAAAGTCACGTAGAAGGGAAATAATAAAGTATTTTATTATGTTTTATTTTTGTATTATTATTTTGTTGTTTCCCTTCTACGTGGTGACTTTACCGAAAGAACCAAGAATATGAATCCCTGCAGTCACGAAAGCTTTAAATCGAAAAATTTAGAATTGTTATAACAACACTTATTGTTATAACAACACTAATTGTTATAACAACACTAAAAGTTATAACAACACTAATTGTTATAACAACACTCCTACAACATCAGAGTGCAGCGCCACATTAAATACGCACTACAATGACAATAGTTTAAAGCGATTTGAAGCGTGTTTTATTTTCTAAATGGAAATGTTTTTTTTTTTTGGGGGGGGGGGGTGGTGGGGCAGACCTTTGTGACGTCATATTTAAGGGGGGGGGGTCTGACTTTTTGTGACGCCGTGTGACGAGGAGAGGGGGGGTGAAAAAAATCGTCCAAAATCGCGTGACGTCATTTATGACCGGCCCCAAATGTATAGCAGAAGCCAAAGAACTCGCCGTGACGTGGATTCTAAATGTGGAGGGGGAAATAAACCCGGAGGACCCGGAAAAAAATATCCACGCGACCACGGGCAGAGAGAGACACGCAAACTCCAAATATACAGCAGCAGCAGGCGTCAGGGTCGGGATCGAACCCACGACCTCCTGTATACCAGGCGAGGTAGTTAACATCTCCTAACCACCGTGATGATGATGATGATGAGAGAGAAACACGCAATCTCCAAATATACAGCAGCAGGCGTCAGGGTCGGGATCAAACCCACGTCCTCCTGTATACCAGGCGAGGTAGTTAACATCTCCTAGCCACCGTGATGATGATGAGAGAGAGAGAGACACGCAAACTCCAAATATACAGCAGCAGCAGTCAGGGTCGGGATCAAACCCACGATCTCCTGTATACCGGGCGAGGTAGTTAACATCTCCTAGCCACCGTGATGATGATGATGAGAGACACGCAAACTCCAAATATACAGCAGCAGCAGGCGTCAGGGTCGGGATCGAACCCACGATCTCCTGTATACCGGGCGAGGTAGTTAACATCTCCTAGCCACCGTGATGATGATGAGAGAGAGAGACACGCAAACTCCAAATATACAGCAGCAGCAGGCGTCAGGGTCGGGATCGAACCCACGATCTCCTGTGTACCGGGCGAGGTAGTCAACATCTCATAGCCACCGTCAAAAAGTTGTGATCACTGCGCAACTTTTGCCACCGTCTCTCTAGCGCCCTCTGCCTCGTGGCACCTCTCTCGCCACGTGACGCTGCTCACGCCTCGTCACGTGACGCAGGCCGCAGTGCTCGGTGGGAGCTGGCCGCGTTTGCCCAATGGGAGGGCTGTGCCCGTGCAGTCCCGGGAAGATTTGAAAACTCGACGAGAGGGAAAGACGACGAAATTAAAACAACGGCCACTGTGGTTATTTTTTTTATTACAAGTTGCGAATTAATGTTCTCAATCGTAAAGGATTCATATTTGTTTTTTTTTACTGCGTATTATTTCTTTGGCTAAACTCCTGCCCTGAGAATAAAAACTAATTCAGTTGAACACATTCGTCGACCAATATTATCCATGATAGAATTTTGTTCTCGAGTTAGATCGCGTAAATATAAATGTGTCGTTAAATCCGCCACCACCCGACTACACAGCCAATGAGCGAGGGTTTGTCACGTGAACAAAATTACCGGCGATATGTCACGGCACTCGAATTGTAAATGTTGTCGTGGGTTTACTCTCCTACACACAACCAGTGTGCTGAACTAGTACACTACACTATACACTACACTATAGACTACAATATACACTATAATTGTAAATGTTAGTGGGTTCACTCTCCTACACACGACCAGTGTGTGCTAAACTAGTAAACTACACTATACACTACATTATACACTATAATAGTAACTGTTATAGTGGGTTTACTCTCCTACACACAACTGGTGTGTGCTGAACTAGTTTACTACACAATACACTACACTATAATTGTAAATGTTATAGTGGGTTTACTCTCCTACACACAACTAGTGTGTGTGCTGAACTAGTTTACTACACAATACACTACACTATAATTGTAAATGTTATAGTGGGTTTACTCTCCTACACAGTGTGTGCTGAACTAGTAAACTACACTATACACTATAATTGTAAATGTTATAGTGGGTTTACTCTCCTTCACACAACTAGTGTGTGTGCTGAACTAGTTTACACTACACACTACACTATAATAGTAAATGTTATAGTGGGTTTACTCTCCAACACATTACCGGTGTGTGCTGAACTACTGGACATAGTGAACTGGTGGACATCTGTGAAAAAGCGCTTCATAGACCTCATCGGATCACTCCAGTAGAAATACTTTTACGTGGCAAACCCTGAACTCATTGGCTGTGTGGTGGGGGGGTTTAACGACACGCGTTTATATTTACGCGACCCAACCCCCGCCCCCCCCCCCCAAAAAAAAAACAACCCTCGATTGTGGATGTTTAAACTAATTATTTGGCGACGCTGCTGCATTGGCGCACATTCATCGACAAGCGTGGGCTTAAACTATATATATAATCGGCAATGGAAAATGTTCACACGTGCCATGAAGGGCCGATTCCCCGAAACGTCGAATTATATATTTTTATTTTAAATGCCATGGCCTTTACTGTAAAAGCGTCGTATCACCAACATATTATACGACCTTTAAAGCCATTCCCCGTGTTTAGTGTACACGCTGTGCAACATGTTTAGAATCTACAGCAATAAAGTTGGACTTACGAACAAAATCGACTTACGAACAGACCTCTGGAATTCACATTCTTGGTTCTTTCGGTAAAGTCACGTAGAAGGGAAACAATAAAATAATACAAAACAATAAAATTCTCACACGACGTTTCGACTGCAACACAAGCAATCATCATCAGGTGTGAAACACCACAGCTCGCACCTGATGACGCTTGCTTGTGTTGCAATCGAAACGTCGTGACAATTTTATCTTTTATCACTTTATTATTTCCCTTCTACGTGGTGGTGACTTTACCGGATTAAGCCGAGAATAGGAATCCCTGCAGGTCGCGAAAGCTTTCAATCGATCTCGAGACCTCCGGAAACCCAACTCATTCCTACGTGGAGGAGTTCCTGTACCGGGCCGGCCCAGCGCCGTCAACTCTCCCACGGCGGCAGGGCGAGCGGGTAACCGTGCCGCGCCTCTGCCGAGCGCCACGCGGCCACCGCCGAAACGTCGGACCAAACGACGGCCGACGTCGCGTCGCGCGGCTCTTTCAGGCAGCCTGCGAACGTCGCCGCCTCTCCCTCCCGATGCCAGGGGAGGCAACGCTGGGGAGGCCAAGTCAGCATCTCCGAAAAGCCACCGAGGCGCTACCGGGGGGGTGGGGGTGGGGTGGGGTGGGGTGGGTGGGCGCCTGCCGGATTCGAACGGCCGGAACCCCCGTGACAAGCGGGACAAACGCGCCACGGCCGTCTGGGGTGGGCACGATCGTTCGGTATCTTGCGGGCCGTCTGGAACGCTCTTCCTGCCGATAGGTGGGAGGACGCCGGGAGCTGTGCGCGCTTTTGAATCGTCTGGATTGGAGCGTGGGGGTGTGGGGGTGTGGGGTGGAAATCGCTTTTTTTTTGCGTCGAGTTTTGTCGATGCCCCTTTAACCCACGGCACCTCCTCCCGGTCGGAGCCGTACGGCGCCGACGAAGTTGAGACCGCGACCCGTTGCGGCAAAGGGACTTCGCAACCCGCGGCGACGAAACGTGGGGACGAAGACGAGCGATGGGGATAGAAACATTCAAGCGGCGGGTGACCTTCGCAAACCGATACCCGTTGCTTTCTCGCGTTCAGATTTTATTGTTTAAATAGTGAAAGGTGCGTCTTGTTCAGCGCCGGAGCCAACGACGATTTTCACCCTGCAAAAAAAACAACAAACAAACCAAACCCCACACACGCACGACCACCGTTACAAACATCCCGTGCAGCATAAATGAGTCTTCCCCTGCATAAACAAAAGCGGGTAAGGGGCAGTCCATAAAAGACATCACGCGATTTTGGACGATTTTTGACCTCCCCCCTCCCCCCTTCGTCACAAAAAGTCAGACCCCCCCACCCTTAAATATGACGTCACAAAGCTCTGCCCCCCCCCCCCCCCCCCCAAAAATAAACCATGCTTCAAATCGCTTTAAACTATTGTTGTCATTGTAGTGCGTATTTAATGTGGCGCTGCACTCTGATGCAGGAGAAAACATTCATTAAAAATACTCATTGGTTTTTTCGGTAAAGTCACGTATGTGGAAATACAAGAAAAATTATATTAACACAATTTTTTATTTTTTATTTCTACATACGTGACTTTACCGAAAAAAACCAATGAGTAATTTTACGCAATCACGAAAGCTTTAATACTTTATTATTTATTAAAAAGTCTATTTAATTAAGTAGAACGTGTCGTCTATATTTATTAAAAGTTGCTCATTTTGATGTGACGTCACATTTCTCAACCCCCCCCCCAAGGTGGCTAGGTGCGTGACGTCATTTAAGGACGGCCCCCAAGGCCCCACTCAGCTGCTATAGACAGCTCTTTTCCAGAATCGACCTGGGCTTATTGCAGAAGTGCCTCGCCATCGTGCGAAAATGTTAAAGCACCCAAATACTCTAAAAAAATCCACGCGACCACGGGGAGAGAGAGAGAGACACGCAAACTCCACATATACAGCAAGCAGGCGTCATGGTCGGGATGGAACCCACGACCTCCTGTATACCGGGCGAGTTAGTAAACATCTCATAGCCACCGTGATGATGATGATGAGAGAGACACGCAAACTCCAAATATACAGCAGCAGGCGTCAGGGTCGGGATCGAACCCACGACCTCCTGCACACCAGGCGAGGTAGTCAACATCTCAGAGCCACCGCGGCGCATGCCAATACCCCTGCTCGGTGTACTCCGAGCCGGTGGTGGAAATTCCACGTTCCTATGGCAAAGGTGAGTCTGCGTAGCAAAGTACCACTGTTGACTTCCCACCAAGTGGTACTGTTCGTGTAACCGATGCTGGATCGCAACGATGACGCTGGTGTTGTAGACGATGGTTAATGATGATTCTGATGCTTTTTCTAACGATGGAAGTGACACATTGGTGGGTGGCTTGAACCTTGAGCATAGGATTATGAATATTATTTTCCCACAACGGAGGCTTTGGGGTTAGATCGCGCGAAAATAAATGTGGTGTCGTTAAAACCGCCACCGGCCGACGCAGACACTCGGTCAGGGGTTGTCACGTAAACAGAACGTGCCAATTCGTTGCTCTCCCAACACACCGTTGTAGTGCTGTTAGCAATGAATTGGCACGCTTAGTGAACGTGACAAACCCTTGCCGAGCGGCTGCGTCGGGTGGTGGCGGGTTTAACGACACAACATTTATATTTACGCGACCCTACCAAAAGAACTTCCATTATGGGTAATATTGGTCGCGAAAGCATGTGTTAAAGTTTTTTTCATATATATAAACGTTCAATTACTACGCTTGCTATTATTGTACGCTTGCTTTTGTTTGTCCTTGCCAGCGCCGCTCGCTACACGGTGCACTTCCACTCCCAGCGCTCTTCACTGCAAGGCCCCCCACGAACCACTGGCGGGCCCCCCCTGGTGGCCCTATGGTGCACCCCCCCCGCCCCCCACAATACACTACATTACTATACACTACATTATACACTACACATTAAGCTCTATGGAGGCCTGTCGTTAAGCCGTTAGTCGTCAACAGGGGTGGTCGTTGAGAGGGGTTCAACTATACACTACATTATACACTACACTATAACCTACACTATACACTACATTATACACTACACATTAAGCTATACACTACACTACATTATACACTACACTATAACCTACACTATACACTACATTATACACTACACATTAAGCTATACACTATACACTACATTATACACTACACATTAAGCTCGATGGAGGCCTGTCGTTAAGCCGTTAGTCGTCAACAGGGGTGGTCGTTGAGAGGGGTTCTACTATAGTGGGTCGCAAGAGCCCTGCGTGTTAAATAAATAAAATTGTTCAGCATGAAAAAAATAAGAAGAGGTTTTTTTACACTCGCTGGCCATAAAACAGGCGCTGTGTTAAGATGTTCAAACACCAAACAGAAACCTTGAAGCGTCGTGAGAATTTTATTGTGTTATTTTATTAATTTATTATTTTATTCTCATTCTACGTGACTTTACCGAAAGAACCAAAGAAGAAGAAACCTTGTTGCAACGTCTTTGTACCGTTCGCCTTTGGATGTTGTACTCTGATCTGACACTGGTGGTGAGACAGGGCCATGAAGAACAAGGCTGCAGTCTCTGCTGTAGGCCAATCAGTTTCAGAGACAATGCATCATAGATTATCATCAGAGCCAGGTGTTTGTGTCTGCATGTTCACCGCAAGGACTGCGTGTGGTTCATGCAGTCACTTGATTCCATGCAAAAGGTTTCTCATTTGGTGTTTGAAACGTCTTGACACAAGTCCCGTTTTCTCATTTTTTCCCCCACTTTGTCACTGGCGAAATCAACGCGTCACTCGTAAAGTGCCATGCGGCACGCCAAGCTGAAGACGACCAGAACGTTAAAGAGCAGGCGTTGGGGGGCCCCTGTCGGCTGGGCGGCTTTGGGCCGTGCCGTGCCGTGCCGGGGAGGGGTCCTCGCGAGACGCACACCGGAAGCCGCGCCGGTGATGCCGTCGCCCGCACCCCGGCGTGCTACTCGCTGAGCTTCTTGCTGACGTAGGCGATGACGTCTTTAGCCGTGAGCAGCTTCTCTGCGTCCGAGTCGGGGATTTCAAAACCTGGGACGACAAAGGCGAGGGGGATGACCGGTCGGTACGGCGGTCTCACGCCAGGCACGCCAGGCACACCAGCAGTCACCCCGGACGCGTCATACGCACGAGACACACAGGGGACGCCAGGAACGCCAGGCACGCTAGACACGCCACACGCCCCAGGCACGCCAGGCACACCAGCAGTCACCCCAGACGCGTCATACGCACGAGACACACAGGGCACGCCAGGAACGCCAGGCACGCTAGACACGCCACACGCCCCAGGCACGCCAGTCACACCAGACACGCCAGTGACACGAGACATTCCAGTCACACTAGACACGCCAGGAATTCCAGTCACACACGACACACCAGACACTCCAGACACGCCAGTCACACAAGACACTCCAGACACGCCAGTCACACAAGACACACCAGACACTCCAGACACGCCAGTCACACAAGACACACCAGACACTCCAGACACTCCAGTCACGCCAGTCACACAAGACACACCAGACACTCCAGACACGCCAGTCACACAAGACACACCAGACACTACAGACACTCCAGACACGCCAGTCACACAAGACACACCAGACACTACAGACACTCCAGACACGCCAGTCACACAAGACACACCAGACACTCCAGACACGCCAGTCACACAAGACACTCCAGACACTCCAGACACGCCAGTCACACAAGACACTCCAGACACGCCAGTCACACAAGACACACCAGACACTCCAGACACGCCAGTCACACAAGACACTCCAGACACGCCAGTCACACAAGACACACCAGACACTCCAGACACGCCAGTCACACAAGACACACCAGACACTCCAGACACGCCAGTCACACAAGACACACCAGACACGCCAGTCACACAAGACACACCAGACACGCCAGTCACACAAGACACACCAGACACTCCAGACACGCCAGTCACACAAGACACACCAGACACTCCAGACACGCCAGTCACACAAGACACACCAGACACTCCAGACACGCCAGTCACACAAGACACACCAGACACTCCAGACACTCCAGTCACGCCAGTCACACAAGACACACCAGACACTCCAGACACGCCAGTCACACAAGACACACCAGACACTACAGACACTCCAGACACGCCAGTCACACAAGACACACCAGACACTACAGACACTCCAGACACGCCAGTCACACAAGACACACCAGACACTCCAGACACGCCAGTCACACAAGACACTCCAGACACTCCAGACACGCCAGTCACACAAGACACTCCAGACACGCCAGTCACACAAGACACACCAGACACGCCAGACACGCCAGTCACACAAGACACTCCAGACACGCCAGTCACACAAGACACACCAGACACTCCAGACACGCCAGTCACACAAGACACACCAGACACTCCAGACACGCCAGTCACACAAGACACACCAGACACTCCAGACACGCCAGTCACACAAGACACACCAGACACTCCAGACACGCCAGTCACACAAGACACACCAGACACTCCAGACACTCCAGTCACGCCAGTCACACAAGACACACCAGACACTCCAGACACGCCAGTCACACAAGACACACCAGACACTACAGACACTCCAGACACGCCAGTCACACAAGACACACCAGACACTACAGACACTCCAGACACGCCAGTCACACAAGACACACCAGACACTCCAGACACGCCAGTCACACAAGACACTCCAGACACTCCAGACACGCCAGTCACACAAGACACTCCAGACACGCCAGTCACACAAGACACACCAGACACTCCAGACACGCCAGTCACACAAGACACTCCAGACACGCCAGTCACACAAGACACACCAGACACTCCAGACACGCCAGACACGCCAGTCACACCAGACACACCAGACACGCCAGTCACACAAGACACACCAGACACTCCAGACACGCCAGTCACACAAGACACACCAGACACTCCAGGCACGCCAGTCACACAAGACACACCAGACACGCCAGTCACACAAGACACACCAGACACGCCAGTCACACAAGACACACCAGACACTCCAGACACGCCAGTCACACAAGACACACCAGACACTCCAGACACGCCAGTCACACAAGACACACCAGACACTCCAGACACGCCAGTCACACAAGACACACCAGACACTCCAGACACGCCAGTCACACAAGACACACCAGACACTCCAGACACGCCAGTCACACAAGACACACCAGACACTCCAGACACTCCAGTCACGCCAGTCACACATGACACACCAGACACTCCAGACACGCCAGTCACACAAGACACACCAGACACTACAGACACTCCAGACACGCCAGTCACACAAGACACACCAGACACTCCAGACACGCCAGTCACACAAGACACTCCAGACACTCCAGACACGCCAGTCACACAAGACACTCCAGACACGCCAGTCACACAAGACACTCCAGACACTCCAGACACGCCAGTCACACAAGACACTCCAGACACGCCAGTCACACAAGACACACCAGACACACCAGACACGCCAGTCACACAAGACACTCCAGACACGCCAGTCACACAAGACACACCAGACACTCCAGACACGCCAGTCACACCAGACACACCAGACACGCCAGTCACACAAGACACTCCAGACACGCCAGTCACACAAGACACACCAGACACTCCAGACACGCCAGTCACACAAGACACTCCAGACACGCCAGTCACACAAGACACACCAGACACTCCAGACACGCCAGTCACACCAGACACACCAGACACGCCAGTCACACAAGACACTCCAGACACGCCAGTCACACACGACACACCAGACACACCAGACACGCCAGTCACACAAGACACACCAGACACTCCAGACACGCCAGTCACACAAGACACACCAGACACTCCAGACACGCCAGTCACACAAGACACTCCAGACACGCCAGTCACACAAGACACACCAGACACTCCAGGCACGCCAGTCACACAAGACACACCAGACACGCCAGTCACACAAGACACACCAGACACGCCAGTCACACAAGACACACCAGACACTCCAGACACGCCAGTCACACAAGACACACCAGACACGCCAGTCACACAAGACACACCAGACACTCCAGACACGCCAGTCACACAAGACACACCAGACACTCCAGACACGCCAGTCACACAAGACACACCAGACACTCCAGACACGCCAGTCACACAAGACACACCAGACACTCCAGACACGCCAGTCACACAAGACACACCAGACACTCCAGACACGCCAGTCACACAAGACACACCAGACACTCCAGACACTCCAGTCACGCCAGTCACACAAGACACACCAGACACTCCAGACACGCCAGTCACACAAGACACACCAGACACTACAGACACTCCAGACACGCCAGTCACACAAGACACACCAGACACTACAGACACTCCAGACACGCCAGTCACACAAGACACACCAGACACTCCAGACACGCCAGTCACACAAGACACTCCAGACACTCCAGACACGCCAGTCACACAAGACACTCCAGACACGCCAGTCACACAAGACACTCCAGACACTCCAGACACGCCAGTCACACAAGACACTCCAGACACGCCAGTCACACAAGACACACCAGACACTCCAGACACGCCAGTCACACAAGACACTCCAGACACGCCAGTCACACAAGACACACCAGACACTCCAGACACGCCAGTCACACCAGACACACCAGACACGCCAGTCACACAAGACACTCCAGACACGCCAGTCACACAAGACACACCAGACACTCCAGACACGCCAGTCACACAAGACACACCAGACACGCCAGTCACACAAGACACACCAGACACTACAGACACTCCAGACACGCCAGTCACACAAGACACACCAGACACTACAGACACTCCAGACACGCCAGTCACACAAGACACACCAGACACTCCAGACACGCCAGTCACACAAGACACTCCAGACACTCCAGACACGCCAGTCACACAAGACACTCCAGACACGCCAGTCACACAAGACACTCCAGACACTCCAGACACGCCAGTCACACAAGACACTCCAGACACGCCAGTCACACAAGACACACCAGACACTCCAGACACGCCAGTCACACAAGACACTCCAGACACGCCAGTCACACAAGACACACCAGACACTCCAGACACGCCAGTCACACCAGACACACCAGACACGCCAGTCACACAAGACACTCCAGACACGCCAGTCACACAAGACACACCAGACACTCCAGACACGCCAGTCACACAAGACACTCCAGACACGCCAGTCACACAAGACACACCAGACACTACAGACACTCCAGACACGCCAGTCACACCAGACACACCAGACACGCCAGTCACACAAGACACACCAGACACTCCAGACACGCCAGTCACACCAGACACACCAGACACGCCAGTCACACAAGACACACCAGACACTCCAGACACGCCAGGCACCCCAATCACCCCAGACACACCAGACACACCTCTCACAGGCCAACTCGCCATTAAACGAGTACCTGGCATAGCGGTGTGTACAAAACATCGCCACTGGGGAGACAGAGGCGGCCGCCGTGCGTGGTGCTAACGACTCCGCCCCATATTGTGCCAAGTCGGCCTTGCTCACGAATAGCATTGGCCCCAACATTCCGTTGGGAGGCTACACGTGGCTTCTCTTTGCCTTATGTGTGCGAGTGCTTTGTGTCTCTCCGCAATCTCTCACCAAACTCATCCTCGATGCCCATGATGAGTTCCACTTGATCCAAGCTGTCAAGGCCCAGGTCTTTCAGGAAGTGAGACTCCAGCGTTAGCTGCAAAGACAAAGAGTCGCCCGCGGGGCCTTCAACAGACCGTAGCGTGGGGGGGGGGGGCGGGGGCAAATGTTGTGAGCGAGTAGCAGCCCCGAACGAAGGCCGGCAAGGCACACGAGGGGGCGGGTTTGGCCCGCACCACGCCCGGCCGCCTTTGTCTCCCCGGCAGCGATGTCCACACACTCGTTTGAGGCCGAGTTGACCTAGGGGAGGCGCAGCACCGGTTCAGATGATCGTCACCGGTGTTGGCCGCGAGCGGGGGCCGAACTCGGGTCGCCGGGTTCGTAGCGCGGCGTGCTCACCGGCGCGCTGCCGCTCACCGCACACACAGGAACATTCACAGCCACGTGCGTGCGTGTGTGTAACCGCGAGTGTGCAAAGATACGTAACTGTGTGTGCGAGTGAGTGCACGTGTACGTAACCAGGGGCTCGCACTTTTCCCAACATCGTCTGTTCAAGGCCATATTTGGGGGGGGGGGGGGTGGGGGGGGGTGGGGGTCTTTGTGTGTTGCGTAACAGAGGTGTGTGCGAGTGTGAGTGTATCTATACATATTTCAGTCGTGGTTTCAAGGTGCACATGGCCTGGCACAAGCGTCGTGGTGACGTCACCGCCACTTAGTGGCGAGTGGCGGTTGTTGTGTCTATACGAATGTGTGTAAAGCAGGGGTGTCCAGAATTTTTTTCCCCGAGGCCAACATTCAGAAAAATATACTAAGGACTGGGCCACTCACTGGACGTGAGGTATACTGCCTCACTTCTCATGCACTAATATTGGCAAAATCACTCAAATGCAGGTAAATTACGTTTGATAATTGAACACGTTTGAAGAAAAAAAGCCTCCATCATAGCTCTCCATTAGTAGATTTTCAATTTTTTTTTTACAAAAAGGTTGGCAGGTCATTCTCTCAGTGACAGCCTCAGATTGGTTCTTAGGGTGCTGATCCCCCTTCATTGTCCTCTATGAAGGGAGAGACAAGAAGAGAAATAGGGGATGTGGATATTTCAAGCTTATTACACAAATAAATTATTTGGCTTGTTAACACATCCACTAACGTTTGTTAAAAAATTGTCATCAACTTTAATTGACTGAATTTATTAAGTAATTGGGCTTATTAACAAATGAAAACTGTGTGTATATTTTTAACTCGCCTGTAATGGGAAGAATGTTGTGCTCAGTGGGAGCAGTGATGCTGCGCTTTGGTCTGAAGGATAGCTGGCAGGTCAGGAGGAGTAAGTTTGGTGGTTGAGATGCGAAGGACGTCACGGAGATGGCTGTCGGTCGTTCTGGTTCTCAGTCTGTTTTTGTTCAGCGTTAACAGAGAGAATGTCTGCTCACAGATGTATGTTGAGCCGAACAGACACATCATTCGTTTTGCGTGGCGTCTCATCAGAGGAAACTTGGCCTTTTCCAAGCTCCGGTAGAAGTCAGGTAGGGAGAGAAGCTAATGCTGATTCTTCAGAGAAGCATCACACTGAATTTCGATCAGTTCTAATTGCAGACTCACCTCCACTTCTTTTGCAATGAGCTGAGCTACTTCATAACTGGCTATTGTTGCATTTTCTTGAGCTTTGTTAGCACGGAAAAAAACCTGCTGCTGATGCATTAGCAGGCTAGCTGCCGTTTGCTTTGCCTTCTCTCTCCGCCCGGCGCCAGTGTAGGACGTGAAGGTCTGATGTTTCGTTTCATAATGCCGTCGTACATTGTACTCTTTCATCACGGCAACACTCTCATTACAAATCCAACAAACACACTTTTCCCCTTGGTTTCTATGAAAAAATATTAAATTTTTCCACCGAGTCCGAAATTTTCTGCACTCGCTTGCAATCTTGCGTCTCTTCGGTTCCGGCATTTCTGGTGACCCTGAGCAAATGTTTTATTCGATTGCTTGCTTTGTGTAGACGCTGCCTTGTTCAAGACAATAGCGCCACCTAGTTTTTAAACTAAGAAGTGCAATACAGTGGGCCATAGCCCATTATATATTTTGACCTTCATACGGGCCAATTAAAAATGGATGGCGGGCCGCAGTTGGCCCGCGGGCCGTAGTTTGGACACCCCTGGTGTAGAGGTATGTGAATGTGTGTGTAGAGATATGTGAATGTGTGTGTAGAGATATGTGAATGTGTGTGTAGAGATATGTGAATGTGTGTAGAGATATGTGAATGTGTGTGTAGAGATATGTGAATGTGTGTGTAGAGGCATGTCAATGTGTGTGTAGAGGCATGTCAATGTGTGTTTAGAGATATGTGAATGTGTGTGTAGAGGCATGTCAATGTGTGTTTAGAGATATGTGAATGTGTGTGTAGAGGCATGTCAATGTGTGTGTAGAGATATGTGAATGTGTGTGTAGAGGCATGTCAATGTGTGTGTAGAGATATGTGAATGTGTGTGTAGAGATATGTAAATGTGTGTGTAGAGATATGTGAATGTGTGTGTAGAGATATGTGAATGTGTGTGTAGAGATATGTGAATGTATGTGTAGAGATATGTGAATGTGTGTGTAGAGATATGTGAATGTGTGTGTAGAGATATGTGAATGTGTGTGTAGAGATATGTGAATGTGTGTGTAGAGGGATGTGAATGTGTGTGTAGAGATATGTGAATGTGTGTGTAGAGATATGTGAATGTGTGTGTAGAGATATGTGAATGTGTGTGTAGAGATATGTGAATGTGTGTGTAGAGATATGTGAATGTGTGTAGAGATATGTGAATGTGTGTGTAGAGATATGTAAATGTGTGTGTAGAGATATGTGAATGTGTGTGTAGAGGCATGTCAATGTGTGTAGAGATATGTGAATGTGTGTGTAGAGATATGTGAATGTGTGTGTAGAGATATGTAAATGTGTGTGTAGAGATATGTGAATGTGTGTGTAGAGGCATGTCAATGTGTGTGTGTAGAGGTTTGTCAATGTGTGTGTAGAGGTATGTGAATGTGTGTGTAGAGATATGTGAATGTGTGTTTAGAGATATGTGAATGTGTGTTTAGAGATATGTGAATGTGTGTTTAGAGATATGTCAATGTGTGTGTAGAGATATGTGAATATGTGTGTGTAGAGGTATGTGAATGTGTGTGTAGAGATATGTGAATGTGTGTGTAGAGATATGTCAATGTGTGTGTAGAGGCATGTCAATGTGTGTGTAGAGATATGTGAATGTGTGTGTAGAGGTATGTGAATGTGTGTGTAGAGATATTTAGGTTACGAATTCCATTCCCGCTCACGGTCCAACACCGGTGACGATTATCTGAAGCGGTCCTGGGCCTCCCTTAGGTCGACTCAGCCTCAAACGAGTACCCGGTACGGTGCGTGGTAAACATCGCCACTGGGGGAGACAAAGGCGGCCGGGCGTGGTGCTGGCCACCATACCCCCGGCCTTCGTAAGGGGCTGCTCGCTAACATCACTTGCCCCGACAGCCTGTCACAGGCTACACGGGGGACCTTTTGCAATACCTTTGCGTGACATCACGGCGGCCCGTCCGTTCTCTCACCTTCTGCGGGTCCACCTTGTCGTACGCCTTCAGCACCTGCATCACTCTGTCGTGCACAGAGGCGTCCGCGGTGGCGCTGTCCGCCAGGAAGCGCGCGCACATCGGGCTCGGGTTGCGTAGCTGCTGCTGCTGCTGCTGCTGCTTCCACAGAGGTGACAGGACCTGCAATGCACGTACTGCGAGTTGGACTTCTTTTTGCACCGTACCTACGCAGCCAAAACGTCGCCAAATCCGGAGGTGCGGGCGGGCGGGCGGGCGTGGTGGGGGGGGAAGGGGGACGATAAACTGAACGCGCGGAAAGCAGTTCTGAAGAAGTTAGTTTGTTACTCTGGATGATTTGATAGTGCGTAGCTCCTCGTGGCGCATGATCGTCGCCCAACTTGAAACAATCCAGGCTCAGCCGTGCTTAGTTTCCCAGATCCAAGTTGGTCACACACACGCACACACACACACACGCACGCGCACGCACGTGTACAACTACAACAGCCGCCACTCGGTGGCGATAACGTCTCCGCGGCGCTTGCGCCAGGCTAGGTGCACGTTTAGGCCATGCAAAGTGTCGAACGCCCGCTGGCAGGTCACGGGGGCAGACCCAGAAGGTTGCCATGGGTTGACTTGACTGAGATGACTGGCCGCTGCCACCTGTGCCCCCTACTGTGCCAACGTGTGCGCGTGAACGCGCGCATGTGTGCGTGTGACCCGCGCGCGCGAACACACACACACACACGTGTTCACGCACACAAACACACGCGCGCTACAGAACGTCGGTGCTCACACCTCATGGTCCCCCACCCCTTACACCGCATCCACCGCACAAAGCAACGGGCAGAAGCAGCAGCGGCGGTGGCAGCGGCCAACGTGGATTCGGCGATGATGCACCAATGGCAAAGTACGAAGAAAAGCAATCAACTCTCCAGTAGCAGTGTGGCGACTGTGGTCATCCAGGAACAGAGACGGCAACAACGACAACAACAGCAACGATGCCCCCGATCCACAAACAACGAAGGAGGGGACATCACCAGCGACGATACAGGACTACCCCGCTGCTACTCCTGACGTGGCTATCTGCTCGCCTGACCCACCTTGAATGTGAAACTGTAAGTCGTTGCTCTGCATCTCATACCTGTCAACCCCTTATCAGTGCCTGGATTATTACAGACCAAGTGAGACCTCACTGGTTCCCACGTGGCCCTTGTAAATCTCAGCGTTCATCCTACAAAGTCCCATCACAAGGAAGAAACACAAATAGACAATCACCACTACTACACTCAACACTAGTTCACTCACCACTATACTCACCGCTAGTACACTCAATACTAGTCCACTCACCGCTAGTACACTCAACACTAGTCCACTCAACACTACACTCACCACTACACTCACCACTACACTCAACACTAGTACACTCAACACTACTCACCACTAGTACACTCACCACTACACTCACCACTAGTACACTCACCACTAGTACACTCACCACAACACTCACCGCTAGTACACTCACCACTACACTCACCGCTAGCACACTCACCACTACACTCAACACTAGTCCACTCACCACTACACTCACCGCTAGCACACTCACCACTAGCACACTCACCACTAGCACACTCACCACTAGCACACTCACCACTAGCACACTCACCACTAGCACACTCACCACTAGCACACTCACCACTAGCACACTCACCACTAGCACACTCACCACTAGCACACTCACCACTAGCACACTCACCACTGGCACACTCACCACTAGCACACTCACCACTAGCACACTCACCACTAGCACACTCACAACTAGCACACTCACCACTAGCACACTCACCACTAGCACACTCACCACTAGCACACTCACCACTAGCACACTCACCACTAGCACACTCACCACTGGCACACTCACCACTAGCACACTCACCACTAGCACACTCACCACTAGCACACTCACAACTAGCACACTCACCACTAGCACACTCACCACTAGCACACTCACCACTAGCACACTCACCACTAGCACACTCACCACTACTACACTCAACACTAGTCCACTCACCACTACAATCACCACTAGTCCACTCACCACTACAATCACCGCTAGTCCACTCACCACTAGTACACTCATTAGTACACTCACCACTAGTACACTCACCATAGACTCACACTACCCATACACTAACACTGCCCATAGGCTCAACACTGCCCATAGACTCAACACTGCCCATAGACTCAGCACTGCCCATAGACTCAACACTACCCATAGACTCAACACTACCCATAGACTAACATTACACATAGACTCAATACTACCCATAGACTAACACTACCCATAGACTAACACTGCACAGAGACTAACACTGCCCATAGACTAACACTGCCCATAGACTAACACTGCCCATAGACTCTGCACTGTACCTCCCATTAGCACGGTTGGCTACGTACGGCGCAAAAGAAGTTCAACGTACAGTACATGGTGGTCCAGATGTCTTGTGACCCCTTCCCCCCCCAAAAAAAATTAATTGACCCTTAGCAGGTTTTTGCTTTTCATAATTCATTTTTGTCTTAAATAAACCTAACTTTTAAAACGTTTTAAATAACGAAATGGAGGTCACAAGACATCTTGGACCACCCTGTACATATAGGCAAAGCTCCCCCGTGTAGCCTGTAACAGGCTGCAGGGGCAAGTGCTGTCAGCGAGCAGCAGCGCCTACGAAGGCCGGCACCGTGGCACCACGAGGCGGGGTGTGGGTGGCCAGCAACCACTCCCGGCCGCCTTTGTCTCCCCCCGCCCCCCCCCCCCCCCCCCCCCCCCCCCAGCGGCGATGCTTTACTACACGCCGCACCGGCTGCTCATTTGAGGCCGAGTCGACCTAGGGGAGGCCCCCAGGACGTGTTATTCAAGAAAACCGCGTGGACATCATCACTCGCAGGGCGCCGGGGAGACTGACCTCGGCTCTCCCCCTCCACGTGGCCGAGCCCGCGATGTCCCTCGACCCGGCGCGCCAGCACTGCGGCCCCCCTTTGGCACCGGCCCACCTCGGGGCTGCCCCCGCGACGCCGCGGGGCCCCGCACGCAGCGAGAGGCGAACGACGGCGGAGATCATCGCTAACGCGATGCCCTTCAAGGTGGTGGTGAGTGAGTGGGGTGGTGGTGGGTGGTGGTGGGATTCGATTCCCCTTGTTGCGATTCAACACCTCATCGCTACCGGTAATCGATTCCACGTCGTCGATTCCGGTGCCGGGTGTGCCGCGAGCGTTGAGGCGACTTGGTACGAGCGATCGCTCCGCTCGCGGATATAGTGCGCGCACGACACGGCCAAAGGTGGCTCGCGTTCCGTTCGCCGATAGTATCGAGTCACGCACATTTTAAGTTAGGGTTGAGAAGGCGGTCGAATCGATAGAATCGAATTTTATGGATCGATTCTACGCCCTTGGTTGTGTTTTTTGTAAAACACTCGGTTGGATCGATTCCCTTGTCGTCGATTCCAAGTAGCACGATTTTAATTATTAGATTCCTCTGAGGATGCTATCGGTATCGATTCCCACGCGGTGTTTAATCGTGGTGGTCAATGCGGGGTTCGATTCCTCATCACAATAATTATTAAACCATTGTGGAGTTTGTGTTGGGTTAGAGATCGCGTAAATATACAAACGTTGTGTCGTTAAATCCGCCACCACCCGATACAGCCAATTAGTAAGGGGTTTGTCAAGTAAACAGAACGTGCCGGGCTCTCATTCGCTCTTTCTCTCCCCCTGTCACGACGGGGTGGATTTCCACTCAACTCTCTGTAAAATTTACCAGATTTGCTGGGTCTTTCTCCCCCCCTGTCACCACGGGGTGGATTTCCACGCAACTCTCTGTAAAATTTACCAGGCTTGCTGGGTCTTTCTCCCCCCCTGCCACCACGGGGTGGATTTCCACTCAACTCTGTAAAATTTACCAGGCTTGCTGGGTCTTTCTCTCCCCCTGTCACCACGGGGTGGATTTCCACTCAACTCTCTGTAAAATTTACCAGGCTTGCTGGGTCTTTCTCTCCCCCTGTCACCACGGGGTGGATTTCCACTCAACTCTCTGTACAATTTACCAGGCTTGCTGGGTCTTTCTCTCCCCCTGCCACCACGGGGTGGATTTCCACTCAACTCTCTCTAAAATTTACCAGACTTGCTGGGTCTTTCTCTCCCCCTGCCACCACGGGGTGGATTTCCACTCAACTCTCTCTAAAATTTACCAGATTTGCTGGGTCTTTCTCTCCCCCTGTCACCACGGGGTGGATTTCCACCCAACTCTCTGTAAAATTTACCAGACTTGCTGGGTCTTTCTCTCCCCCTGTCACCACGGGGTGGATTTCCATGCAACGCTCTCTAAAATTTACCAGACTTGCTGGGTCTTTCTCTCCTCCTACCACCACGGGGTGGATTTCCACTCAACTTTCTGTAAAATTTACCAGGCTTGCTGGGTCTTTCTCTCCGCCTGCCACCACGGGGTGGATTTCCACTCAACTCTCTGTAAAATTTACCAGACTTGCTGGGTCTTTCTCTCCCCCTGCCACCACGGGGTGGATTTCCACTCAACTCTCTGTAAAATTTACCAGATTTGCTGGGTCTTTCTCTCCCCCTGCCACCACGGGGTGGATTTCCACTCAACTCTCTGTAAAATTTACCAGGCTTGCTGGGTCTTTCTCTCCCCCTGCCACCACGGGGTGGATTTCCACTCAACTCTCTGTAAAATTTACCAGGCTTGCTGGGTCTTTCTCTCCCCCTGCCACCACGGGGTGGATTTCCACTCAACTCTCTGTAAAATTTACCAGGCTTGCTGGGTCTTTCTCTCCCCCTGTCCCCACGGGGTGGATTTCCACTCAACTCTCTGTAAAATTTACTAGGCTTGCTGGGTCTTTCTCTCCTCCTACCACCACGGGGTGGATTTCCACTCAACTCTCTGTAAAATTTACCAGACTTGCTGGGTCTTTCTCTCCCCCTGCCACCACCGGGTGGATTTCCACGCAACGCTCTCATTGACATGCTAATTTCTCTGCTCCAGCAGACCCCCACCTCTCTCTCTGACCTCCCCCCCCCTCTCTATTTAAGGCCACGACACAGAGGCATTGGGTCTCTGTGTGTCTATGTCGTGCGTCTCTCTCTGTCTCTGTGTTGTCTCTCTCTGCTTGTCTGTCTGTGTGTCTCCTTGTCTGTGTTTTGTCTCTCTCAATTTTAGTTATACCTGATGACGATTGCTTGTGTTGCAATCGAAACGTATTCTATTATTTCACTTATTTTCTTTCTACGTGACTTTACCGAAAGAACCAAAGTGTAATTCCTGCAGTCACGAAAGCTTCAAATCGAATAACAGTGTCTCTACAGATCACTGGAATATAATTGACACAATTACACAGCAATCAGCTGATAAAGCATTTAACAAAACTAACACTACCCAAATTAACAAATTTGCTTGACTAACTAACAAACAACTATACGCTTTGGTTCTTTCGGTAAAGTCACGTACGTAAAAAAATAAAAATAAAGTTAATCAAATCACGGCGTTTCGGAGGCAACACAAGCTTCCGTCATCAGGTGTAACTAGCAGAGCAAAATTACTGTAAAGAGAGCTATTTGTGATAAGAGACTATTATATAGGGTAAGAGGAGGGGGGGGGGGGAGGAGCCAGGGAGGACGTTTGCAGGGTGGGGGGGGGTTGGAGACGGGGATGGTAAAGCTCCGGATGCTGTTCCTGCACCATGGTGGGGGGGGGGGGGGGGAGAGTGGGATGGGAGACAACGTAGCACGATTGAAACATTGCAAGTGAAATGTCCTAGTAGGGCTGGGAGTAAAAGATTGGAGATATGGATATGAATATAAACCCTAAGGCAGTTAAAGTTTAACATGGTTAATAACATATTTCCGATGATTGCTCAGTTTGAATCCATCCTCTCGGTTGAAGTTATGTCTCTGTTTGTATATCTGTATGGCTTCATGGAGAAATCTTTGGTGGTATCCAGACGTCTTGCAGAGCACCTTGGTATCGGAGAAAACAATATCATGAGAACCCACCGCGTTATAGCAATTATCAGCCACGGCAGAATGATTCGTCCTACCGCGTTTCAAATCTGACTTGTGCTCGCTTTACCATCTCTGTCTCCCAAACCCCCCACCCTGCATCCCTCCTCCCTGGCTCCTCCTCCCCCCTCCTCTTACCCTATATAATAGTCTGTTATCACAAATAGCTCTCTTTACAGTAATTTTGCTGTGCTAGTTACACCTGATGACGGAAGCTTGTGTTGCCTCCGAAACGTCGTGATTTGATTAACTTTATTTTTTATTTTTACCTACGTGACTTTACCGAAAGAACCAAAGAGGATGGATCATTGCAGTCAAGAAAACTTCAAATCTAGAATTAACAAACAACTCTCATCTAAAAATGAACATTTTATAAACAAAACGGTTATCAACACGACTAACGTTGAATTATCCAGCAATATGATTTCAGTCCTGTCTAAAGGTCTTAACTTTGCTGTTGGCCCACGTGCAATCCCTGTCGATGAAATCATTGTTGAAGTGGAATCAGCTGTTAGACATCTCCACCATAATCAAGCTGAGACGACTCGGCACGAGGTTGCCAAAATTACTGAGAAAAGCAAATTGCCAAAACAAATATTGCCTTCAGTGAAGCAAAAGCCTCAAGAGAATCGAGAGAAAATAAGGATATCCAAATTCTTGCTGCTGATGAGGGCCGGTCGACTGTTGTGATGCCCCGAGAGGACTATGATAATAAAATCAAAGATTTACTCGATGAAGGTACCTACTTTCAAATTAAACGAGACCTAACCAGCACCTTGGAACGTAAAACAACGGCAATCATTGCCAAGTCAACAATTCCCAAGGAAGAGCAATACCTGATCAAACCAAGGGCATCAAAACCACCAAGACTTTATGGGCTACCAAAAATTCGCAAACCTGATGTCCCATTAAGAACCATAGTTAGTACAATAGGCTCTTGACACGTACAAATTAGCACAATACGTAACGAAACAAATACAGCCCTACATCGGTAGGACCTCTTCGTGCATCAAAAACTCTGAAATTCTCCTTCTTTGGTTCTTTCGGTAAAGTCACGTAGAATGAGAATAAAATAATAAAATAACACAATAAAATTCTCACGACGTTTCGGCCACAACGCAAGCGGCCGTCTTCAGGTGAAAGGTACAGAACTATCGGGACGACAGAGCTTCATTCTACGTGACTTTACCAAAAGAACCAAAGAAGATGAATCCTTGCAGTCACGAAAGCTTCAAATCGAAATCTGAAATTCTCGTTAACATGATTAAATAAATTAAGCTCAACCCTAATGATGTTCTCGTAAGTTTTTATGTGATCTCTCTGTTCACGAGGGTTCCGGTCAACGAGTCAATTAAATTACTCGACACTCTGGTAACGAACAAAGGTTTAGCCAAAGATATCCCAAGACTAGCTGAACACTTTATAAAGAACACTTACTTCTTGTGGCAAGGTGACTTCTATAAACAACAGGAAGGAGCAGCAATGGGCTCTCCTTTGTCTCCTGTGATTGTGCATTTGTTCATGGAAGATTTTGAAACAAAAGTAATAGCTTCAAGCACACTAACACATTCTCCTGCCGAGGGAGCTGGTAGTAGGAACGTTGGGTTGCTCGGTCAATGGCCAGGGTCAACGGCGGCACCACGTGGTGTATTCCAATATGCCCGACTGTGAGGGCGGGCACAAGCCGGCGTGAGTAGGTTACACGTTGAGTTTTATAAGGGCACCACGGGGTGACCAGCCCCTCCTCACCCAGCCCCACCCCCCCACCCAGCCCCTCCCTCCCCACCCAGCCCTTCCCTCCCCACCCAGCCCCTCCCCACCCACTGCCCACCCAGCCCCTCCCCACCCTCCCCACCCAGCCCCTCCCCACCCAGCCCCACCCTCCCCACCCAGCCCCTCCCCTCCCATTTTTGGACACACGACAGACGGACGGACACAATGATCCCCTGTGGGCTGCTGGTGTAGTAACCAGGAGGTTCCTACACAGTAAAACCATCTGCTTGGTTTAGATATACACTGTACATGTGTAATGGGTTCGGTTGATGGTGTGGTGATGTACACTGTGTGTGTGATGGTGTGGTGATGTACACTCTGTGTGTGTGATGGTGTGGTGATGTACACTCTGTGTGTG